GCCGCATCCGGCCCCTGGGCCTTAGGTTGCCTACCCCTGGTCTAAATAAACTTTGCTTAATTCTGCTTATAGGAAATTCCAAATGAGATACCCTGACAATTAAAGCTCTCCCTGGTAGAAAGAGAGGTACATACCATACAAGAAACAAGGTAACAATTATGCTTCCCTTTCATAAAAAAAAAAAACACCACGAAAAACTGCAGGAAGACATTCTCTCACATGTGCAAGGGAAATATGGGAAATGATTATAGCGTGTTGGGTTTCAGTACTCATATCTTCCTATGCTGTGATGCTCACTGCTTAGCCTTGGACAAGTTAGTTTCATGGTCTAAATACCCTTGAAGTTAGTTACAAAGGTAAACTGCCAAGCTTGTTTGAAGATGATTGGGAAACCATTGAGGGACATATAAACAATCCCTGTAGGACTTTGATATTATTAATTTTAAAAAATATTTTTTGACCTATGAGATATTGATGGGGAGATAATGAATTTCAAGAATTCATCAGACCTACTGTGGAAAATCTTGTATTCCTTACAGGGAGCCTACTTCCATAACAAGTTTTTTTGGTAATTAGATTTACATCAGGGAACTAGAACACACTGTAAATTTTGAGTATCAAGAACAGATGACATTCCTCCTCAGTCTTGCATGTAGCAAACATAATCTGAGTTAATTTGACAGATTTGGGTATTCAGTGAGTAGTACAAAATGTGTCAACATGGATATTATAAATGATATACTGGGCTTGTAATTTTGTTTAATAACTCAGGTAGTAAAGCAAAAAAAAGGAAGGTTAAATTTGTAGGTCTATATACCATTGGTCTGTGTATAGTGTAGCTTGATATGTATAAACTACATGTGTAGCTACATTTATATATGTGTAGCTTAATATTAATTTATGAAAATATGGGTGGGTGATTGTGGCAAGTGTGTGGGTCATTTTTTGCCTCGTGCTGGCAGCAGCACTCCAAAATTGGCTAAAAGATGAGAAATGGAAATAATCAGAGGTCTACTTGCTGGGAGAAGGGTGTTTCTTGCTACTGCTGCTCTTGGACACATCCATAAATGGTGATTGACCATATCCAGATATTTTTCACGTGAATATTTTGGGGATATTTGCAAGGGCATGGGGTGGGATGAGCCAGGGCAGCACCAAAAAAAGGAGCCTTGGAGGCTCCACACAGACCATGCACACTCTTGCAGTAAATGTATGAAATGTATCATTACTTCTAGCAACAACCACTAGTGGTAAGAGTCAACAGAAATATAGTCAAAATGGCCACTAAAAAAAGTGGGTGTACCACCATGCATAGGAGAAACCTAAAATTTGCAGATGTACAACTCCACAAATGATCATAGCAGCTAAGAAATGAAAAAGAATCATGATAAGGATTAGCTTGTTTAGTACTTACAAGATGATGATTCAGCTAGAAAAGGCAAAAAGGAGGAGGTGGTGGTTGTATATCAATGGAATATTCTGGAGAAGAGCATGTCCAACTGTGTGAAACCCTGAACCAGGTAGAATCTAAGAATACGCTGCAACATTTTGTTGTAACTGCCTGGTGTGATGCAGCTCACACACAGTACTGTACAAGCAGTGCCATAGGGTTTTTTGTTGTTGTTTTGTTATATTCTGAAGGTGTTTTTAATTTGTACATGTAAGAAATATGTATATATATTAAAAATGCATTCAGAACATAACAAAACAACAACAAAACTGTGGCACTGCTTGTACAGTATAGTGGGTGAGTAAATAAAATGTGGGAGCCAGTGTGGTGTAGTGTTTTGAGTCCTGGACTACAACTCTGGAGACCAGGGTTCAATTCCCGCTTAGCCATAAAACCACTGGATGACCTTTGACAAGTCACTTGCTCTCAGCCTCAGAAGAAGACAAAGACAAATCTCTGAACAAATCTTGCTTAGAAAACCACGTGATAGAGCCTTAGGGTTGCCATATATTGGAAACAACTTTAAGGCACACAACATGCAAATACATACATGAGCCAATACTGCAGCTTGTTTTATAGTATTAAATGGAGAGATTAGGCTGTAGTTTACACAGCCAGTGTGGTCTTTGCCTAGTTTAGGAATAACATAAACTAAAACTTTATAAAAGTGAAGTGCAAAACAGACTCAGGCTGCATCTGCACTGCAGGAATAATCCAGGTTGGCACCCCTTTAATTGCCATGGCTCAGTGCTATGGAATTCTGAGAATTGCAGTTTGTTGTGGCACCAGAGCCTTCTGACAGAAAAAGCTAAATATCTCAGAAAACTACAATTCCCAAAATTCTATAGTATTGAGCCATGGCAGTTAAAGTGATGTCATCTTGGATTATTTCTGTAGTGTGGATGCAGTCTGGAAAATCTTTTTATATAAACAGAGAAATCCAGGAGCCAACAGCTCTGAGATGTGTTGGGTGGAAGCAAATTGATTGAGTACATTTGTACAGTGTTTTCTAAGTCTTCCTCTCATTGAATTCCGAACAGTGTTTTACAGGAGCCATGTGTTACAATCCTCCCATTCATGTAGGCTTGCAGTGAGTGCAGGCTATTAGATGGTTCAACCTTCATTTTTAGCAATTCAGAGGCCACTTGCTATTTATAATGTGTGTATCTGCCTTCAAGTTGCCTGTTGGCTTATGGCAACTCTGACTTTCATAAGGTTTTCTAGGTAAGAAATATTCAGAGGTGCTTTTGCCAGTTCCACTTTAACTATAACACTTCTTTTTAAATAATTATAAATTTAAAGTAAAAAAAATAATGCTACTTATAAAATTGGTTGTACTTAACCTATAAATATGAAATATATAGTGTGTCTTTCCTGTGAGGCGCAAAGGCTGACTGAATTTCATCAAAATTCAAAGTGAAAAAAGGCTGTTCAGCAGTTATAAAACTTGAGACCTTTGATTTCTATACTCTCCTGGAGAAACATCTTAAAGTTACCTTTCTGAAGCCTGAAAATATTTTTTTAAATGTAGGCTTCTGCAGTGTGCCTTTCATCAATTTGTTGAAAATCTTTTGTGTAGTTTTAAAGTTAAGACATTTGCTATTTTAGTCAGTGATGAATGAAGTATGTGCATGTTATACCACTGAGATCATTTGTACCCAGTGATGTTGGTGTGAAGGCAGAGGTTGGCAGCTGTGTGAGACTTTTTATAAAATCAAGATCCAACCAGTAGGAACCCTCTAAACAGCAAAGAAATCAGATTAAAAACCATTTAATTACAAATGTTTAAAAGTGGGGTTATTTCAAAAAAGAAAGCATACAACATTTT